GTGACATAGCGCAGTGTTGGTTACGTTGTTCAGGTGGTACCTTCAATACAGGTGTAAAGTTCCACTCTCATTGACACACGGTCACGCCAGACGGAGGGTCGGAAACGGATGTACCGCGCTCTAATTGGTGGGACTAGGTCATGATAAACAACTGTATTACGGTCCACATTTCCAGAAAATTCCTAAAACAATAGAATAATTGTTAAATGAGAGTGCAGTATAATTAAACTGAACTGAAACAAGAAATCTGTAATAAAAGTTGAAATCTCCTCTCCTAAGTCATGTTAAACCTTACTACTTCTTCAACTTAAGTTCCAAAGATTTGAGATTTTACAAGACGAATGTAGAGCGTTAACGAGAACTAGGAGAGAAATGTACACCAAACCAGTTTTAACTGTGTTTCATCGACTGAATAAATTACGAATGTGTTGGCAGCGAGGCAAAGTCGTAATAAGGACTTTCTGAAAAGGTAGCCGGAATTGTTGCTGTTTTTTTTCTTAACCGTCAAAAAGAAAATTGAGAGGTGGGGAAGCCTTTGAAGTACAGAGATTGGAGGTAAGATAGATGAAAACCAAGGGCTTGTTCATAGGATAAAAAAACTGTGGCGCTGCGTCGGTGGGGGCTATAAAAAGATAAATTGGTTTATCCACGGGGGTGGTAATTTAAATTGGCCTCCGTAAAATTTTCTTAAGCTGATGTATCGAGCGTTGGTCCCTCGTCATAACGTAGCATAGGAACCTGGTTAATCAGGCTCGCTCGTTTGGTTTCTAACATATCTCACCTCGATAATCTTTCCTCTGTATAAATTGAGACGTTCTGACGCATTTATGGAGATCTTGTTTTAAGCAACCGACATATTGGTAACCAAGCTGAAAATTTTTGCATCATTATAATCACGTCACTCCGTTTACAAGGGATGAAACTTAAAAGATAGTGTCCTTCCTATATCGGTAATGACGCTGAAATTTTTCCTTATCAGAAAAGAAATCGGGCGCAAAACTTAACCTACTAACCCGTTTAAATTTTACTGTAAGGACAGATGACAAAGATTGTCTCGCTAAACGCATTACTCGGTTATTGGGCTCAAGCGAAGAGGCCCGATGAAGGATAATTTACATTCATAGACAACATTCGACAGTTTTTCCACACCTTGGGCGATTGCCCGTTTTCCGTGTAGTACTTAAAATCATCTCCATCATAACTGTACTGTACGTTGTACTGAATCACCCACTGATTCCAATCATTCCTTCCTTGTGTAGCCAGGCCTGTCACTCTTATGTCCTGACTGCGTAGGTCCACTTGGAGCCACTGATAACGATCGACCGTACGGCACACCCAGGCTCCCGGGGATGACAGAAGATTTAATCTACCTCGGGTGACGCCGTGAGCAAAAAATTGCGATGAGGCTGATAATTGATCATTATGGATGTTGCCGTTTTCCATACCGAGAGGGACTTTGCACTCTAAAAGTTTATTGAATTAAATGTGAGTGTTTACCAGAGAACTGAACTGCACTTTTGCTTTTGCGAAACATGTAAGTGAACATAGTTTTGCTATTTTCAAGGCAACAAGAAAGACTTGATCACGCCCAGCAGACTGTAATCCACTATATCCTTTAAATCCCATGAGTGACCAAGACATAATTTTTCCTAAAACTATCAATGCAATATCAAGCGGACTGGTAATGAGAATAATGAAAAAAAATTAAATTAGGAGATTATTATTTGCTACAATACCAAATTCTCCGATCTAACGGAGAAGTTTGAAGGGGATCGTATGATTTCCAGGTAATATAATAGTTGCTGATAATAGGTGATGACCGTTCCACAATGCGCCGTAACAGGTCTAATGCACGATGCTGTCATTAATGAAAATTGATACCCAAGCTTCGTTTGCATTCAAATTTGTAGGAATCTTTGCCTCTTTCTGCCAGTTTTGATGTGGGTATTCTGTTTATTTCAGTGCTTTGAGAGTACACCCCTATTAAATTTTATCAATGTATACCTTCAAAGCATGGGTTGAACGCGAAATTAGGTATTCTAGCTTAAACAGGTGTAAGAGACATTAACTGTTTAAGCGAAAATGTTACTTTTTACTAAAGATAGCAAAATAGTTCCATTTTACGACCAGGTTTAAATCACAGTGACTCGCTGTTAGGCAACTTTGTCACCGTGCTCCTTATCAAATTCTTCAGGATTTGTTTCGTGAAATCTTAGTCTTGACGAGAGAAAGTAATGGTCGTGATAAATGGAACTGTTACTATCCCCATCTAAGTTGATTGTATTCAACATTTACCTCGGTCACCGTTCGACCTCGTAACCTGGAAAGAAAAACTGAAGTTGTGTTATTTATATAGAAGGACAGGATATGGCTTAAGAAAATTCGTGCAAAGTAAAGAGGATTTTTCCAGGATAATGAATTATCCATAAGATCTTAGCATGTCTATTTGTAAAGTTCTTCCTCACCTCCAGTTCAGTTTCGAGATCACTCACTTGGAATAATTTTCATCAGGAAAAGCATGGTTCATTTATTCGTTTTTTACGAAAACAACTTTGTAAGCGTGAGGTTCATTGTCAACGAAGCGATACCTTTAGTACTGTATACTGAATCGGCGAGAAGCATTACCTCAGGAATAACTTATTTTTGAAGGATTTACCCTCCCTCGACAAAATAAAAAAAATCCTGACCATCAAAACTAATTATGTAGCTTTAATTATCTAAACACCTTTTGGCTTTTGAATTTATATTGGAAGAATGCGTCTTGAAAAATTTTTGACTCTCCCCAACACTTTTATTTTGTCTATCTACGCAGTTGTTGATGTTTGTGGACAGAATCAAGAAAGCTTTTGCAAACACTGCGAAAACATTATTTACAGAAAACAACCGATTTAAACCACAGTATAAGCTGAAGTTCTTTTAAATAACCGGCCACTAATCCAGAGGGAATTTAAATGTTTCACCTTTTACTTTTGACGGTGATAATAAGACATTAACTCATAAACAGACTAAATTAAATGGGCCTTAAAATCAACAACAATGGCGACTTGAAGTTATGCAAGTAAATATATAGATATCTAAAAGATCTAATATCTAAAAATTTCTAAAAGATATTTTGATGACACTCACTTAAGGATCCTTATTATTTTCAAAAATTCGTCAAATATGCCCAAAATCGTTTGATAGATTTCAAGGGATAAAACTTTTTCCAAATTAAATGTCTCCTGAAACACCACCACTTAAAACCGTTGTTAGCTTTTGGTTGTTCTAAGTTGTTAAAACCGACTCAAGGTAAAGCGGCCGTTGCGGAATGACTCGAGTCTAGCAGATTTTATTATGATAGAGCTCATAGGACTTTTTTTTCGACCCTGTTTTCAAGAAGGAAAAGCTTGGCTTGGTGAGCTTGTAAACCTTTTACTCTGTCAATAGTTTTGCCATGTTGAGTTATAAATGAAAATAAAAGATGAATCAAAATTAGGAAGAACAGGATGATGATGAACTTACCAGGAATACAAAAACGAGCAAAATAAAAGTCACTCTCATCTTCCGATAGCTAAAACTATACTCGCATGTCATTCCAGAGAAAGCAACCACTGGACAGAGACAATTAAGATGTCTCTTGAACACCAAAGCGTTGAAAACCTAGTGCAAACTTAGTGAACAAGAAACAGTCAATGACCTGGAGCCGTGTAGTCTAGCTTCAAAGAAACGGACTCAAGGAGTTTGCTAAACGAACCAATCAAATTTTTGTGAAGTCTAACTCCATGGGTTTTTTTACCTTCACATAGCGTATAAATTGTCATGACCTTAACATCTCCACTGATTGCAGTGATTAGGGCGATACATTTTGGTATCACCTGCTTGTCGCCTAAACAAGTGGTAATTGATTGAACGCTGTTAAGCCGGTGAATAAAGCGAGTGGCCAAGGTGTAAAGTCGTTAACTGGTTTACGCCTCTGGAATTGTTAACAGCAATCTGGGAAAACTGCGAGGAAGATCTTGCCAAGCGGAGACCAGTTTTACTAATTACTTCACCATTTAACCCTTCTATTAACTACCACGAGTAATCAAGACAGAATTTCTCCTTACAATATCAAGGAAGCAAGTGATGAGATGGAATTATTAGTTGATCCAATACCAAATCAGATTATGCGAAGTAACATAAGAATTGTATGTATCAGGGTCGGCCAGGGGGGGTTGTGGAATACCAATATACCCGAAAAAAAATCGACAAAATACCCCAAAATACCCCA